TCTGAGGTGTGGTCGAAGGTGATTGCGGTCACGGCCGTCTCACACCTCACTCGATTTGGGTCTGATCATTCACCCCTCCTCATTAGGTGTCGATTTTGAGCACCCCTCGCCTTTCATCTTTTAGGTTCCAGAACATGTGGGTTCGCCACCACTCCTTCCACGACACTGTCAAGGATTCCTGGCTTCAACCGACTGGGCTCTTCGGGATGCGCAATCTCGAGGCGAAGCTCGGCAGACTGCGGCGTAGGTTGAGATAGTGGAATTGGGATGTTTTTGGAAACCTCCATCAGCGCCTTTCTACGGCTCAGAGTGCGCATGCGGAGGCTGAGCGGGCCTATGATCTGGACCCCACTCCAGAGAATAGGACTGCGATGCGCCACTGCCACGCCGAGTACCAGCTCCGACTCCTTATGGAGGAGGATTTCTTGAAGCAGAAGGCGGCCGTTCGCTGGATGGCCGAGGGCGAGTGGAATACTAGGTTCTTCTAGTGTTTCGTTAGACAGAAGCGTGCTAATTCGCACATCCACAGTATTGAGGCTGATGGGTCACCCCTGACCCAAGAGTCTCAAATTCGGGAGTCGGCTACTGCTCAATTCCAGACCCTTTTCACCTCCGACAGAGGGGATCTCGATGCCCCGATCGCTTCTTTGTTTTCCACCATTCCTCCTTCGGTCGACCTCGTCGGCCTCTGTGAGCTCCTGAGCAGGGAGGAGGTTAGGGATGCTGTCTTCGGGATTGATCCCAACAGTGTTTCTGGCCCCGATGGATTCTCTTCTCTCTTCTATCAGGTCTGTTGGGATATTGTCGAGCCTGATGTTGAGGAGGCAATGTTGGATTTCTTTTCCGGTCACCGGATGTCGAATTTCTTCACGGCTACCTCAGTCATCTTGATTCCCAAAAGACCCAATCCGAGTTCTTAGTCCGACTACAGGCCCATCAGCTTGTGCAACGTGACCAATAAGCTCATTTCGAAGATTCTTAACGGCCGCCTTTCCCCTCTTCTCCCCTCCCTCATCTCTCCGAACCAGAGTGGTTTCGTCAAGGATCGGTTCATTAGTGATAATATACTTTTGGCCCAGGAGATGATCCACGATATCTCCCATGCGGATTGGAAATGGTCACCGAACGTTGCGCTCAAGCTAGACATGGCTAAGGCGTATGATAGGGTGGAGTGGTCGTTTCTTAGGGAGGCACTGGCTAGGATGGGATTTCCTGAGCGGTGGATCAGTTTTGTTGAGGCGTGTGTGGAGCACTGCACGTTCTCAGTTCTGGTTAATGGTAGCCCCACCGATTTCTTTCCCTCCTCTAGGGGCCTTAGACAGGGTGACCCCCTTTCCCCATCCCTTTTTGTCCTTGCGGCGGAGTACCTCTCTCGCTGCCTTGACGGGTTCATCCGCGACTATCCACGGATGACATACAGCACCCGTGGCTATGGTCCTCCCATCTCGCACCTTTCTTATGCGGATGACATCATCATCTTCACCCGAGCGGATGTTGATGGGCTGACCAAGCTTATGCACCTTCTGGAGCACTATAGCTTGGTTACCGGCCAGCTGATCAGTGTGCAAAAGAGTACCTACATCCTCTCCTCCTTTAGCGTGGACAGTTGGGCTCAGCAGATTCATGAGATCACTGGGTTTGCGCGCGGAGATCTTCCCATTACCTACCTCGGTGCCCCTTTATATAAGGGTCACCTCTCGAGAGCGCTCTTTGTGGACATTAGACAGAGGATGATCGATAGGATCTCGGGCTGGTCGCATAGACACCTTTCTTTCGGTGGTCGGCTTGCGCTGATCAAGAGCACCCTTAGCTCTCTTCCGCTTCACTTGCTCATGGTCCTCGACGCCCCTAGGTCTACTCTTGACGAGATTTACCAGATCATGGCTCGTTATTTCTGGGGTTACGAGGACGGTTCCGGGAGGGGGAGACGTACCCACTGGGTGAGTTGGGACTCTATTTGTCGCCCTTTCGCTGAGGGAGGCCTTGGCATCCGCCGTCTTAGGGATATAGTTACTGCCTTCTCCTACAAGTTGTGGTGGCGCTTCAGGGAAGGAAAGTCGCTCTGGGCCCAGTACCTTCGCGGCAAGTACTGCCCCAGACGTGCCAACCACCCTTGTTGGGTGACGGCGGTTAGTCATGATAGCAGACAGTGGCGGCGCCTCACTAGGGTCGGTAGGCGCTCCCAGGATCCCACCTTTTGGGTTTTGGGTGAGGGTGATGTTAGTTTTTGGGATGAGTGGTAGTTAGGTGATAGGCCGTTGTCTAGCGATAGGCCGGTGTCGCATTCCCCCTACCTGCTTGTGAGCGACTTGTGGACGGACGGGTCGTGGGATAGGGGGAAGCTTGATAGAGAGTTGGGCTCTAGGGCGGGCTTTAGTGAGCAGTTATTACATCAGATCCAGCAGATCCCTATCTCGGGGGACGGTTCGGATGGCATGAGGTGGAGACTTACATCATCAGGTATGTTTTCTACTACCTCGTCTTGGGAGCAGATCAGGCTGAGAGATCGGCCTAATCTTCTCTTCGGAGCCATCTGGAGCGATCTCTTCACCACTACTATTTCGGTTTT